TACGATTCATTGATATATTTAATGCGATGCGAAGGAAAGCAAAGCATTTGTGTAGTACATAGCGAGTTTTCTTCCTTTTTTTAATGCGAGGTATGGATATCGGTGAAAAATAGATGTAATACCAACACTTGCACCCACACTCTCGAAAGAAAATTCTTACACTATAAAATGACATATTATTCTGATGTATTTATAAATATTTCTTTTAGAAGTAGTCTACATTACGACAAACAATGGCAAACAACAAATCAATAACATCTGTTCAAACTAATACACAACCTAATACTAAATATGTATCAAACTTCTCCAAGGATACAGCTGAAAATCAGCGACGTATTAATATGCAAAGAATGCAAAATGTCCTCCTTATTTGGTTGGACAATAATATTAATCAAAATGATGCTGATTGTAATAATACAATCAAACTATTGAAGCATGTGGTTAGCAACGTAAACACGTTTACAGATGGTGAAGAATGTGTGGACTTTATTCAAACCATTACCAACAACAAAATATGTATGATTGTGTCTGGTGAACTTGGAGAACATATTGTGCCTCATGTGCATGACATGTTCCAAGTAGACACCATTTTGATTTTTTGTAACAATCAAGAATGGCATAAACAATGGGTCAAAGAATGGCCTAAAATAAAAGGAGTCTTCACACATATAACATCAATCTGTGAAGCTCTTAAACGAACTGTTCCTCAATGTGAGCAAAATGCCATCTCAATCAGCTTTGTGGCGCCAAACACGAAATTCGATCAATTAGATCCATCATTTATGTATACTCAGATCTTGAAAGAGATTCTATTAACCATCAACTTCGAAAATAAACATATTAAAGAATTTATTACCTATTGTCGTGAAACCTTTGCCGAAAATGAGCATGATTTACATAATATTGAAAAATTGGAACGTGACTATCATAATCATATACCTATTTGGTGGTATACTTATGAATGTTTTTTATATCGTACGCTCAATTGTGCATTAAGGTTAATGGACGTTGATATTATTCTTCGAATGGGGTTCTTTATGAATGATCTACATCGTGATATTCAACGACTCCATTCGGAACAATTTCATGGTGAACAATCTAATAAAACATTTACAGTTTATCGTGGACAATGCCTTTCAAAAGAAGCATTTACTGGAATGACAAAAACTAAATGTGGACTTCTTTCATTTAATAACTTTTTATCGACTAGTAAAGATCGTGATGTTTCTCTTTTATTTGCACTACAAGCTGCTACAAATCCTGATCTTGTTGGAATTTTATTTGTTATATCAATTAATCCTACTCATTCAACAACTCCATTTGCTTGTGTTAGCGATGTTAGTCATTTTCATACGGAAGATGAAGTTCTCTTTTCTATGCATACCATTTTTCGAATTGGAGATATTGAACCAATGAAAGAAAACGAACATGTTTATGAAGTGAATTTAACATTGACTAATGATAACGATCAAGATCTTCGTACTCTAACCGATCGCATCCGACAAGAGACCTTTGCAGATGAAAAAGGATGGTACAGATTGGGATTCTTACTGATTAAAATGGGTCAGTACAAAAAGGCTCAAGAAGTTTATGAAATGTTACTTCAGCAACATACGAATGAAAGTGACAAGGCACCTATTTATCATCAACTAGGTCGAATCAAACTTAGTCAAGGAGAATATCAAGAAGCACTCTGTTACTATGAAAAAGCCCTTGTAGTTCGGCAACAATCACTTCCTCTCAATCATCCTGATTTGGGAGATTCCTATAACAACATCGGTGGTGTGTATTACAGCAAGGGTGATTATCTAAAAGCACTTTCATATTATGAAAAAGCCCTTGCAATTCGACAACAATCACTTCCTTCCAATCATCCTGATTTAGGTGGTTCCTATAACGATATTGGTATTGTATGTTACTGCATGGGCAATTATTCAACAGCACTTTCTTATCTTCAAAAAGCCCTTGCAATTTGGCAACAATCACTTCCTTCCAATCACCCATACTTGAGTACTTCCTATAACAACATCGGTAATATGTGTTACAGGATGGGTGATTATTCAAAAGCACTTTCTTGTTATGAAAAAGCCCTTGCAGTTTGGAAACAATCACTTCCTCCCAATCATCATGATTTGGCTCTGCCCTACGACAACATTGGTGAGGTGTATAATAGCATGGGTGATTATTCACAAGCACTTTCTTATTATGAAAAAGCCCTTGGAATTCGACGACAATTACTTTCTTCCAATCATCCTGACTGCGCTATGTCCTATAATTACATCGGTGGGGCGTATTCCAAAGTGGGTGATTATCCAAAAGCACTTTCTTATTATGAAAAAGCTCTTGCAATTCGGCAGCATTTACTTCCCTCTAATCATCCTGATTTGGGTGATTCCTGTTACAACATTGGTTTGGTGTATGAGAATATGGGCGATTACTCAAAAGCTCATTCATTTTATGAACGTGCTGTACAAATTGGAGAACAATCATTACCAACAAATCATCCTGATGTTCAAGGATACAGAGAAAATCTCGAAAACATTAAAAAGAAATTGTAATTTTTTTTTATATTTTTTCTGAAACTAAAATAAAACTTATGAAAAGAAAATGTATCTCAACTGAAACTCTGTTCTTGTCGAAAAAACAATATGAGCAGTAGCACACACCGTTAAGACAAACAACGCATATTGAGAGATATGTATTGTAGAAAAGACCTTCACGGTTACATTATTATATGTGACCAAGTAGAGTTTTGTTGTGTTAGATAAGAAAGAAAGATACACAACAGAAACATAGAAGAATAGAAAGAGAAAAAAGTTTATTTTATCAATAGAATGAATTATGCTAGGGGTGGTGGCTTCGCATTAATGTAAAAATAATGCACAGGTTTATTTTCGTAAAGGAAACATTTAATATCGATTTATGCACTAAATTGGCATTAGTACCACTAATGCTACTATTAATTCCAAAAATTCAGCATTAATTAACTTTCGCTGAGAAATAAATCAATGCATTATTTTCAGTTCTTATGCTAAGCCACCACCTCTAAATTATGCTGTTAGTTTCAATATTAAAGAATAATTCATACCATTGATAAAGTCATCCATATTAAATAAATAGAATACCTGGATATATGTGCATATATATGAAAGTAATTGAGAAACAGAGTCAATACTTTCATATATAAATAATTATAGATATGAAATTCTATTTATATACCCTATCAACCTTGAATTCTATCTTAGCCTATCTCAATGATGATATTGAATGATGAGATGAGATTATATAGACGATTAGTTTCAATATATGGTCATGGTTCATAATGACTCTTAATTATCCATTGTTGCGGGTGGGTGTGAGTTTTGGTATTGCATTTACTTTTGACTCATACCTACACCCACACCCTCAAGAAATATATAGCGTTACACGTCGTGGTTGAGCCATTTGTGTAAAACAATTATTAAGAGAAAATTCAATCTAATTGATCGCTATTAAATGTACTATTCTCTCTTATAAACGGATGCAGTATATATACATATATGTATATTACACATAAACTAGATGGACAAATTGAAAGATAATGAGGGAAAAACAAGGAGAAAGAAAAGTACTTGTACAACTCAACGTTTGGGATATACCTCAGATGAAAAGGAAAAAAACAGTACATATGTGGAGATCCTGGAAAAACCATCTATACAATACAATCAAAAGAAAAAAAAGAAAATATACAACACAAATGAATGATTCTGTAACATCTGGATTTATATTACTCCCTATACATACGATTTATTGTTAATTTAAATAAAATATTGTTCATTTAGTATAATTATTGCTTATTCAGTATTATTATTGCTCACTCAGTATTATTATTACTCATTTGATATTATTATTGCGCATTCAGTATTATTATTGCTCATTTAAATATAAGTCTTTTTATTTATGTTTGAGTAACAGTCAAGAAAATATCCAAGATTTTTTCCAACTTGAAGTTGTTGGTTAAAAATAACAAAAAAAATTTCCAAATTCAAATTACTTTTATGGTTTTTTAAGTTTATTGTTAAAGCATTACTTGGAAGTTTTTCTTCTTGGAAATTTTATCAACATCATGAAGATCATTTATAAGTCGGTCCGTAATATATAAACGACGACAGTTTTGCTTTCTTGAAAGAAAGAGAACAACAGTAACAATTTTGCGGCTACCTTCAGAAAGAAGAAAAATATTATTCATTGCAGAAAGAGTTTCAGACAAGATGTGTTGTTGTCATTGTTCATCTCTATATCGAAATTTACCTTTTTTCCATGGTTTAACTGGTTTTCTTGAAATGATTCTTGGCATAGTACGTATTGCCGTATTCTTTTCACCTCTACCATCTGGTGTTCGTAAAAAATATACCGCGAAATATACTACTGCATTTATTATTGATTGGATTAGTTCTGGTGTTCCAACATTAATTGGTTTATTTACTGCTCTGATTACTCTTCTCATTCTATTAAAAACCTGTATTGCATGTCTTAAATCATCCAACAATCAAAACAATGAAAGTAGTAGTAGCAAAGGTTTAACACGAAGATTATTTCAAAGTAAAAGTATTCGACGTTTTCTTGTTATTGATTGTAATTGTCCATGGTACCGAGCACGACCACGACTTCGTTTTCAAATTCGTTTTCTGTTGTTGGTTATCTTTTTTATTTTACGAATAACTGCTATTGGACTTTATGCTACAGCTCCTTCAGATGATAATGATGGTGGATTGCTTGCTACAGTCTGTGCATTTTCATTGATTTTCATTTTCAATACTCTCTGTTTGGATTTTTATCGATATTGGGTTTGGTGGCATTATACACCACAACGTGATAGTCGTTGTCATTTAAAACCAAATAAACATGAAAGATATATACCATATCATATGATGGGTTTCTTTCGTAATTCTGAGACAATGGGAAATCGACCATGTACTGATACTCCATGTCGTAAAAAAACACTTGATCATATTGCAGTTTTTCATTCGACTGACTACCAGCCACAACCACGCTGGAGAGATATTCCAAAACCACCACTAGCTGATCCGCAAAAAAGTAAAATTCCTTGTATTAATTCGAAAGAAATAGATAATCAACCACATTATATTGGATTTCATACCACTGATCCTGATGCTGCTGTTTCTATTGCTCATAGTGATTTTCGAACAGGTACTTGTGGATGGATTGGTGCCGGTGCTTATTTTGCTCGATCAGTTTCAGCAACTTGGGGAAAAGCAAAAAGTGATGGAGGTGCTCATATTATTGCTGAGGTTCGCATGGGTAAAGTCTATGAAGTGGAACGAGATGTTATTACCAAAGATCATCCAAGATTTAATGAGGAAATATATAATTATGCTCATCACTCAAAATGGCATGCTGATTATGACACCTGTTATATGATTCATAATAAGGAGATGAAAGATGAATTTGCGATAAAAGATCCTAAATCACAAATCGTTAAATGGGTTATTGTCATTGAACCTGGCTTTGATTCCAAAGTAAAAAAATATGGACTGCTCACTGAATTTGAACAAACACGATGTGGATGTATTTAATGCTTGGAGTTGAGAGCGCGGGTGTGAGTGTCGATAATGAATGAGAAGAATACACACACTCACACCATCATTCTCACTCAGTTACCTTTAGAACTAATCATCCTACACTTCTTTTTACATTTTGAAAAAAGATCTTTTGTTTCGAAAAATGGCATAATTATACTTATAACTATTGAAAACAGACAACAGTGCGACATTTTATACAAGCGTGCTTGATAATACTGCGAAGTTTATTCGAATTACATTTTTATACTCATTAATGAGATTCTCTCAAACAATCAGTTTAAAACTCTTTGATTTTTCGACACAGTTAAGTTTTTCTTTGCCAGCTTCGGACAGATTGCAGTTGGTCATCTCGAGTAATTGAAGAGTTCGATTGTTTTCGAGCATAAAAACGAGATAATCAACACTTGCATCCGTCACCAACTTGTTATCGTTGAGATACAATTGTTCGAGACTAGTGTTGCGATGCATAAGTGTATCGGCCAACATCTGAACACCTTGATCGCCTATCTGATTCGTATCAAGCCATAGATGAGTCAATGTCTCATTGGTCTCAAGCATCCTAGCAAAATGCTCAGCACCTTGATCTGTAGTATTATTATCGGAGAAATTAAGCAATTTCAGAGTTGTATTGGCTGTTGAGAGTGCGTTTGTTAGAGCATACACACCTTCATCAAGTATATTATTTCCTCTAAGATCCAGTGTCAACAATGTTGTATTGCTTTGAAGTGATTCAGCTAGAAGGAATATTCCTTCTGTAGTAATCTCATTCGCCCTTAGTTCTAATTTTGTGCATTGTTTGTAAATGAGACCTTGCACAATGACAATGTTCATATCACGATCGCTTAATGGAATCTGAGATAAGGATAATTTCGAACGATGTTCACATTTGGCAATCCAGTTTTGAAGTTGATAATTATGATATGCATCACCTTTTAAAAAAGATCTCATTAGACAAATACATTTTGTTGTTCAAAGATCAACTATTCGAAATAATTATTGCCTAAAGCCGCCCCTTATCAATCTGATATTTTCAGTGCTTGTCTAACACACGATCGAAGCTTCCACATCTTTTTCAGGAGTTGCAGATGTACAAATAATCGAATTTGCGGTAGTATGAACGTTTTACTTACGATTTATATTCTCCCATAGTTGATCCATCTCATCTTCATGCTTATAGCCCCATTCATTGATTACGGACATCTCAGAATTTTGATCTTGCTCTTCGTTTTGAAGCTCATGGATATCGGTCGTATGATTCACAATCTGTTCTTGCAGTTGTCGCACTTGATTTTGAAGAGTGGTGATCTGTGTTGTTTGTTGCAGTAGTTGTTCTCTAAGTTGCCGATTTTCGGCGATAAATTCCTCGAGAACCGACCGAAGACTATGAAAAACGCAGGAAGTCAAATGAATGCTAAGTTGATCTTGAGGTCCCATCCAAGGACACTTGCGATCAGCTGCAGAACAAATAACATTACGTTTTGGACATGATTTTTTGAAATGATCATTAAAGTTCTCTCGTTGCACATCTTTCTGTCCACAACGAGAACATGTTACACGAAGTCGATCAAGCATATTACGCACAGTGCGATTAGCTTGCACCAGACCATTGATTGGCACGTATTGTCGACATGTCGGACATGATGCTTCTGTGTTTCTAATCCAATGTGTAATACATGCGTGACAAAATGTATGATCACACGGAGTACAACAGGGATCCTCGAAAGGAGACTTGCAAATGATGCAAATTAGTTCGGGATCAATGCATGTTTCGTTTGTGTACTCGAATTTACAGTTATTTGCCATGTTGTTTGAAAAGAGAAAATATCTACAAAGAGTCGAAATGCGTCACACACGAAAACAATGAAAGCGAAGAGGTAAACGTAGCGGAAGACGTTAATGTGAAAACAAGAGAAAAGTAAGAAAAATATGAAATACTCTTCATAGAATCATAATTCTTGTTGATTTCGACGTACAGACATCCGGCATGTGGTAGAAGCAAATATTTACTCTTTTCTTTCTGTTCTTTTTCTAACAATTTTTTATTTCTGACGTCATATTTATTGCTCCTAAGAAGAACATGAATCACTTCTTTTTGCAGCGTGTTGGAAATTTCTAAGCACATTATTGTTATCGACTTTGGACATATTTAACATCTTGAGGATGTGGGCGTATATGATCTGATTTATTGATCAGTGAGTGTGGCCTAAATTCTTTTTAACATGAACTCCGTGGACATATTCACTGTTTCGACGAATGATAGTTTTTTTTGATTAATATACCTAACGGGTCCTTCTGACACGTATTTGCAATAGGTAATTATATGACAGAGGGTGCAACAAGCATCATAGAAACAAGTATTTTGTAGGTGTCTGTCTGATGAACACCTGTCTAGTGATTGGATGCCCTAGACTTCTTTCAGTAACACAGTCATTAATTGTTTCATTAAATGTACTATTGTTGCCATTGGACTCGTATAGATGGAGTATTTTCGTAACTGGTTTCTAATAGTAATATTTCGTAGTTTTTTTTATACAAATTTTTGCTTAATCTTCGAAAAGAATATTACAAAAGAAATTTATGCCATACAGAAATGAAGAAAAAATGCAGTTAAACGATGATTTTAATAAAATTTAATATATGAGAAACACAATAACAACAGAATTTTCGACCTTTTCAAGTTGATTATAGCAATCATCATCAGTAAGATCACAATAAAAATAAGAATAAATACACAAGACATATTACGAAATAATAGACTAATACCTGATGTTAACGTTGTAATATATCAGCATAATAATATTTATGTTACTATCAAATTATTTTTCTTAATATTGACTTATTCATATGCAGTAATCTTTTAAAACTTGAGTATTATTTATATTGGATTGATGTTTCGTATTGATATTTATGAAAAAACAACTTATATTATCTCATTCTTACATGTATCTCTACTTCCGAATTCGTAAATATGTAAATACCCAAGATTTAAAAAAAGAAAAATTCATTCAAAATGATTGTTGGTACTTTCTCTTTAGAAAAAATGTTATTAATGTTATCTTTCTACATAGTGTTTTGATATTTTTAATGAATAAAAGGGTAATCGATACTCACGTTTCTTATCTCTTGTGTCATAATTCGATTTTGTGATCGTATTTAATGGCTATGATTTTATTGACTTGAGAATAAAAAACAATTTGAATGCAGTATATATCAAACTATTATAATCGGTTAAGCGAAGTAATGCACAATGATATTTCTACTGGTCAATCTCAAATCAAAACTATTCGCCAATTGCTTATAATTTTACTTTATATTAATTTGGTGAGTTATTGTTTAATACTCAAAATATTGACATTATACTCTGTTCGATTCTTTATACGATAATAATTTGAACGATTTATTTTAGTTTTGTTTGTCTATTAATATTTTATTTTCTAGGGATATTCTGTGCTTATTTTTATAACAGCTGTTATTGGTTTAACAATTCGAGATGAATTTATTCAGAGAGAAGAAAAGTTTCAAATCACCGAGGCCATTATTTTATTTTTATACAATGGCTTTGGACTTCTTTTCATATATAAGTCTCATCGAACAGGTTTACGTGTGGTACGCTCATTCTATATAAATAATTATTTATTGATCAAAATACTCCATGTTTTATTGTTTAGATCGTTTGGATCGGTATCATTTTGGTGACTATTGCTCCATTCATTATTGGTATCTATGAGTACATTCGTATCCGAGCCTACTATTATTTCCATAAAAATTTGTTCGCGGTAATATATATTTACGGAAGTTATTTGCTAAGTATCTGGTTTCATATATTTACTATAATGGTGAGTTATTTTTCTCATTGTATTTTGGTTATTTTCATTATTCTTTTAACAGATTCTTATAATTAAATTTACTTTCCAACTACTACGACTTACTAATACAAATCAAACTTTGTAATCAAAAAATACAATTTATTTATTTATTTTTTTGTAATTGTTCATAATATGATTTCCTGTTCTAAACACGATTCAGTAAATAAATTCTCTTAATAATATTCAAGAAAATGCTATAAATACTTAAGTTTAATTTCGATGTGTATAAAAATGAGTATCATAAAGATTATGATACTTTGAATAAAACAAAGATAACTATACATATATGCACGATTTCATTTTCTAAGCATAATCAACATAAGGTGAAGGTGAGGACCAGTCTTTTCTTTATCCACACTCACCCTCAAGATTTGACTGATTAAAATTAGATTAGATCTAGTTTTTTAGGCTATCTGAAGCGTTCCTTGAGTGAAAACAAAATCGATAATATATTTCTCACCTTCACCCACACCCTCTATATCTATCTTATTAGTACGCTGGTCAGTTGTTCAACCAATATTTTTTTCCCATATATTCTGTATCTATATACATCTTTGCTGAATAAAACTTTATGTCACAATGAATTAAATGAAATTATACGTGTAAAAATAGGAAGAAAAATAATGTCGATCACATATTCTAGTGTAATTATGGCGAGAAATCTTTGATTATTTTCATTCAAATGACTTATGGTATTCATTTCATGGTTTAAATCAACATATTAATGCAATTATAGATCAAACAATAGTACATTTAAATTTCGAACAACAAGATAGTTATGATTATTTTGTAGACAATATTTTAACATCGATAAATATTACTAATATTCGATCATTAAAACTACAAGATGCTTTTGAAATACATCACTTTTTTTCGATTTATTCACTCAAGTCATTACAACAAATTCAATTCTTATCATTAAATTTCAGGTATTATGATGATGAAACACCATTTCAATTTTGGGATCAACTTTCATCTTTAAAATATTTACAATCATTAACAATTATACATCATCAAAGATTTTTTTCTGATTATAATTATGACGAAAAAAATTTAATTTTTAATTCAATATTCAGTGAAAATTGTTGTCCCTCATTAAAATCATTAATTGTCAGAACAAATGGTCTT